AGGGGGGCGGTGCGGCGGGCCCGTGTCCGGGCTGCGCTAGCCGCGCCGAGGGGGATATAGGGGTGCTCCGGCGGAGCGGACGGGTCAGATCAACACTGGACGGAGCAGCGCGCGCACAGTCAGCTCAGCGGCACGCTCACGCTCGGCTCAGACTACAGTAGTGTCGTGCCGGACAGACAAGGACTTAGAGTGCCAACGCGAGTGGAGTGTTTAGTGCGAACGGCAAGACCCAACACCACCGCGCTCACCATGTTCCTCTCCAGCGTGCTGTGCTTCACCGCGGCCGCGCTCGCCATCGTCATGCTCGCGGTCGACCACTGCCGGCGCCGGCGCCAGCACGCGGGCGACGCCGCCAAGGACCTGCCACAGAGGGCGCCGGGCCCCAAGGTCTGGCCCATCATCGGCAACATGCACCTGCTCGGCGAGCACGCCAACCCCTTCATCGCCTTCACCGCGCTCTCAAAGAAGTACGGCGACATCTTCAGCATGGTGCTCGGCAACACCCCCTGCGTCATCGTCAACAACTACGAACTCATCAAGGAGGTGCTCATCACGAAGGGGTCGCACTTCGGCGGCCGGCCCGACTTCCTACGCTACCACGCCCTGTTTGGCGGGGATCGAAATAACTGTAAGTACCTGAGCTGCGACGAGTGTTTTGAGAGGGCTACCGGGGTACCGGGAAATTGCGAAAAGGGGATGGCAGTGGGAACATTCCTCGGCGTGGGGTTCCCGAAATACAAAGTGATTTTATGTTTTTGGTCAAGAAATAGTTTTTCGGGGCTTCGCTCTGGCTCGGGTCGGCTCCAGTGCGCATCGCGTAGGGGAGGGGCGCACCGCAGATGGGCGGTGCCCGGCGGTTCCCGTGTGTGTCCTTGCGCGCGGGGGCGCGGCGGCGTATTGCCACAACACGCGCGGGGGCGGGCCAGGCCGCGGGGTGTTTGGGCCAAACAGACGCGCAATGTGGAGCGTGTTGTGTGTTTCCGCGGGCGCAAACAGTAGCGACTTTGGACCGCGGCGCGCAGGCTCTCTCGGGCCGGCGCGGCCACGCGACCGACACCGGGCGGCGGCCGGGACAGGGAGGAAGCCAAACGGCTGGCCTCCAATTTCAGCAGACACCTCCTCCTACTCGTCTGGTACTCGGGTGTCTTGACCGGGACGAGCCACGCCCGCCCGTCTGGCCGGCGGGCGCACGCCAGACAGACTTGCAGTCAATGACTTGAACCCAGTTGGCAGGGAGAGTTTCCTTCACCTTGGTCGCCTGCCCCGCCGTCTGCGTGGCAGTGGGTAGTCTTCCTCGCGGCGCGGGCGCGGCCCGCGGCCCGCGGCCTTGCCGAGCACCCGTGCACCCCGCGCAAGGCGAGGGCGGCGCGGGGGCTGGCGCGGAGCCCGCACTTCCTGACTCGCACCCCGTCCGGGCCTCCGGAGGGCCGCGGGGGGGATCCTCTGGAAAAAGACTGACGGCAGCCTCCAGGACGCCGGGGGATGGGGGCCACGGCGGCGGCGGGGCGGGGGAAGCCCGTTACAGTGACCGCGTCGCGAGACGGGACGCGGGGGCGAACAGGGCCTTGGCATTGGACTCGCACGAGAAGGGGGGGGGGGGGCAGCCTTCCCGGCCCCGGCGCCAGTCGGAAGCGACAAGGAGCCAATTTTCGCACGAGGGTCGTCACGTGACGAACGCTTACTTCTTCTTTCTCATGCGCGCGCCGAGCGGGTCGGTTTGAAGCAGTTGTCTCCTTATCGAGGCGGTGGGACGCCCCGTCACCGCTTGTCCGTGACCCGCGACTGATTGCGCACCTCCGAGGGTAGCACCCCCGCCCCGCCCC